TTAACAGTGACGAGATATTTTTCTCGTAAATTGATTTTGATTTCTTTGAAGTCAAACGATGGCCTCGGATCAATTTTATCGTCAATACCATCGACTAGCCAAGGCATAATGTCTAATGAGCACACTAGCTATGGCGTAGCTTTCTCAGACAACGATTTGGTTGAGTTGATGGACGCTGAAGATGAAGCGAATGAAGGAATCTTAAGCGCACCCACTCTAGCAACGCCTTAGACGTCAACTGGCGATTCTTCCTACCCCGTCCAAATGGAGGGCACTTCTTCTTCAGTGGGTTGAACGTCATCTCATCAATTAGCTCTGACATAGCAAGACTTAACTGCAACGGTGATGCTAAATTCAACTTAGCCAACGACAATAGACTTCGAACAAAATGGCTGGAACAGTTCAACCGGACCTGAGCTGAATCCATTAAAAGTTCCGTTCATCACCTATGCCTTCCCAAAACGTGCTTACGCTAGTACTTTCGTACGACCACAAAGTCACTACACTGCTCAGTGCGTCGGTTGTCAGCATAATTTCGCTTAATCTCAAGCAGCCTGCTTTTATACCAACGGTAGCCATGTCGAATAGCAACCACTGAAACAACCCACAAATACTCCAGCTTCTCTAGCTTGGTCAATCATCACCGCCGCAAACGTAAACTCCAATGGGGATATTTCGACAGAAGCGGCGACTCTAAATCGAGGAGTCTTCTACCGTTGATGCTGTTCGAATCGCTCCAGATTTAGCATGGCATGAGGACAATCTCTCAATACATCAGTCAGAGGACTCAAGACGTCCAGGCCATTGCCTGCCTCATCTGCGACCTGAAACAGTGCAGCAAGGCAGAGAAACTGGGGCTTGCCGAGAACAGTTTCCTAGATGACAAGCAGGAAGTCGGACGCAGACTCACCACGGACGGGTTGGAGGCACGCGAAGAATAGGAGGAAATCATTAGTTCCATCATAGTTTTCCGTCCTTGACTTGAAGACATGCGTTTATCAG